ACACGTACGCTTGCCATATTTGTAGATTATGGTATATTGGCTGATATACCATAATGGCTAAGCCAATAAAAGTCTTGAATTGCATTATCCAATGATCTAGTTTTTAATAATCATGCATAGACTGTTGCAAAGAAACCTTTGTATTTAGTCTTTATGAAATGAATGCATAATTAATGTATGGGGTTATTTGGAACTCTTTCCCGTACCTTTATCCCGATCTTGGGGCGAAACGTGCACGAAAAACCAAACATAAACGATGAATCTATAAAAACTTTGGGTGCTATTGTTTTGCAATGAAGCACCGTCGAAACCTGAAAGGACGAGGTCCGCTCTATGCTTACTGCGCATGACTTGTGACGTGACGAAACTAAGAAACGCAAGGGTGACGCTACACTAGGTCTATGTTACCCGAGGGTGTGGGGGGAAAGTAGGTGTTAAATTGATGGGTACATTACCTCTATTGTTTCTTCTTCTGTTTGCTGGTTCTTTAGAATGCAAATATGTAGTCAGAATTAAAGCAATTGACAACTATATTTAAGGCACATTACATTATGCAGTCAACAATTATTAAGATAATTTGCAATGTATTGTGAGAATTTATGCTTTTCTTTTGAGTCACACAAGAGTGATGGGAGGGATTTTTAAGGTGTTGAATTTATTCAGTGAGCATTAACCTGGGTTGATTATGGTGGGGCACAATGTTCATCATAAATGGATTATTTGCTCTGTTGAACTCCAATACTTCACAATCTGCAATAATATTCTGTAAGAAAGTTACAAAGATTTGTAGTCAGCATTGGTATGTAGTTAAAATTATATGCATCTAATTATTGTTTTTAATTGAAGTTGTTGCTGCAGGTGCATTATGGACAAAGCACCATTTGCAAGAAACTCTGTAAGAAGTTTTAGAAATTTTTAGTCAGTGATAAATGTAATTGATAGGAATTCATTGTCAAGGAGATGACTGAGGAAATTGAGGAAAAATATAAATTGCAGAGTAAAAGGTTGACTGAATACAGAATTCTCCAAAGTAACATTATTAGCTTGACAACCCTTAAGTTGGTGGGGGGTGCGGGAGGAGGGGAAAGGAGAATGTTGTTAAAGTCTTGTAATAATAGGCACATTAACCTATGTTGCTTGCTGGTGTTGCACATGTTGGATGATGTTCTGTACAAAAATTAAAGGAATGTAGTCAGTAAGGATGTAATTGATAACTATACTTGTAGCATATTACATAATGCATTTGGTTATTACTTAAATAATTTGCAGCATATTTTGAGAGTTTGAGTTTTTCTTTTAAGGAGTTGCAGCAGGGTTGAGGGGGATCTTAGAATGTTGAATTAATTTCAGCATTGTTACACTCATGTTGTTGTTTTGAATTTTTTGGTACATGAGCATGCACAAATCAGCATTTAGAAGAACCTCTGTAAGAAAGTATTAAAAATATTTGATCAGTGACAATATAATGGATATGAATTCATCATCAAGGAGATGATTGAATCATTGAAAGAAAAATATCAATCACAGGGCAAGTGGTTTATTAAATATACAAACTTCTCCAAATTTGGCATTGAAAATTACTAGCCCTACAGTATGTTAGTGGAGGCCGTTGAAAATTGGGTGGAGAAGAGGGGTGGAGAAGAGGGGTGGAGAAGAGGGGTGGAGAAGAGGGGTGGGGTGGGGGGTGGGTGAGAATGATTAAGTCCTTAATCATGAGTTATTCTATGTGATTTTTGTTTCATTCAGACTAATTGGTTGATCGAATACAAAGTTCTCCAAAGCAACACTGTAAGTTACCATCCCCAAGGTGCCAAAAGGAGGAGATGGGTGGAAATGCTCAATTAGACTTGAAATGATGAACACATTACCTCTATTGTTTGCTCTTTGCTCAAAAGATACATATTCTGTAAGAAAACAATAGGAATATGTTGTCAGTGATGATATAGATGGGATTATCAAACATAATTGTGGCTTACTACATGGTACATTTAATTATATGAAGAATTTTTGCTTTAATTCAGGTGATTAATGTGCCAGGGTGGAAGAGGTTTTCAAAGTGTTGATATATTTCCACATTACCTCTTTGGTGGTTGTCAACTTGTTCAAAATTCAACAGGGATGTTGCATTAACAAGATATTCTGTAATAAGGCATTGGAATTATTCAATCTATGATAATGTAATTGATATTGATTCAATGTCAAAAAAATGATTGAAACGATTTCAGAACAGTAAGTATTATAGGTTAATTAGTTGATTGAAAACAAAATTCTTGAAACTGATGTTGTAAATTATTACCCTAAATTGTGCAGGGAAGGGGGGAATATTGAAGTGTTTAATTGAGCAGCCTGTTACCTGTATTGTTTCTTTTCTTTATTTCACACTGATAAGTTATTGGATACTCTGTAAGAAAATAAGAATCCATCACAAGATAATACATAGGAAAGAAAATAAAGGGTTTTTGTTTTCAAGGTCTTAAGTTTTGGGGGTCATTGTTTTTGGTAACTGAAAACCTCTGGCACTTGGCAGTTAGTTTTTCACTTAAGTTGAAGTTACAGTTTTGTTTTTAGTTTAAAGTAAAGTATCCATTTCTGAAATATTTACTTCTGTTTCAATAAAAGGAAACCATCTGTCGAATAAACAACAATGATTGGAAGTTGAGTGATATATATCTTCATTCTTGGCCCAAGATTTTGTGTATGTACTGATTCCTGTGCCATGTATCTTTTTACAGTTCCTCTTCAATGTAGTGCAATGTTTGGTTGCCCTATTTGATTTTCTCTTCAACTGTTGTCAGTCTTGATATTCCTATGTTTTTAACCCAATAGCAGGCAGAGTTTCTGCGTTTAACACGTGATTCAGGTTTCCAGTCCACCATTAAGGAATTTTAATGGGTCAGTGTAGAACGCAAACTGCAGACTGCAGACCGCAGACCGGGGGTAAAATGCAGACTGGGGGTAAAATGCAGACTTCAGACTGCAGACCAGGGATAAAATACAGACTGAGAGTAAGTAAAATATTAATAATAAAAAACGAATCATAAGGATGAAATAAAGAGTGTTCGTACCCGCAAAATAATGTTACGTCAGGACTCACGAAACACACAAAGGCCGCTTTACGCAGTAAAGTCACGTGGTCCTCAAGTCACATGGCCCTAGAAACGTCGAGTTTTGGCATCTCCTCTATCAAAATGGTCATAGTAACTATTATTTCAGAACGCCAAAATATTACATTTTTCGTGTTTGGATAGCCCACTGTCACCTTTCAGCAAATATATATATCAATTCACAAACCTCTTGATACACTGAAGTCCAGTACAACGATTGAATGTTTCACAAACAATGCTCGAAACCTACAAGTTTACCTTGCCTTATTGTTGTGCTGTCGTATTTTGCTTGCCTTGTCTTCCGAACAATTCCAAGGCCATATGATAGCCTGAGGATGAGGCTCTCTCAAGGGGAGGCGGGGAAGGGAAAGGAAGGAGAGCCTGACACAAATCTATATCGAGAGCCATTCCGTCCCCTTGTAATTCGTGACGTGTGACAAAACCTTTCAGCCAATCAAAACCTCTTCCGGTTTTCCTGATAATCGAGATGTGGGGTCATATGTCAACTGTCCTCTAGAGTTTAAACACTCACACAAACGAACGTAAACACAAATCGATTCGGACTCACCAAGTCTCAATAGTACGTGCTTCATCGACTACCAAGACAGACACATCCATCAAAGAACCAGATTTAAGTTCATGTTTGTTTTCTTCGGATAACCACTGCTTAGCACTACCAAAGATCATTTCTGCATTCGCGAAGGTTCCTTTGTTGCTCGAGTCTAATGTCACAGCTTTTATACCATATTCTACGAGCTTATCGACTTGCTGGCGTTGAATAAGTTTGAGAGGATTAATCATTAAAAATGATCTTAAAGTCCTTTTCAGAGCTGTCAGACCACTCTACTTAGACTCGTGGAAGACTGGAAATCAGCTGTTGACAGAAAGGAACTGGTGTACATACTGTCTACTGACTTGAGTAAAGTCTTTGACTCTCTTAGCCATTCTCTAATCGTAAAGAAACTCGAGGCCTATGGCATTGGACAAAATTCTCTCAACCTTCTTAGATCATACTTTGACAATAGGCTCAATAGAGTGAAAATAAAAGAAGTGACAAGTGACTGGAAAAGGATGGTGCTTGGCTGCCCGCAAGGCTCGTCCTTTGGCCCCCTTCTGTGGAATTTGTTCCAAAATGATATGTCATTTCATATAAATAATGCTAATTTGAGCATGTATGCCGANACATGATTTAATGCAAAGGGCAAACCATAACTACCGAGCAACAGATTGCATTTTCCAGTTTACACAAACAATATTAAGTACTTGGACACCAAATCTAATTTACTCAGGAAAATCATTGTTTAGGTAGACTTGTTGCTATGTATAAAAAACGTACGGTAGATCTGCTTTGCCAACTTAACATGCGTCAAGCGGTATAAAACATGGTTTACTTCAGCATGCTAGGCTTATTAATTCCCCAAGTGTTTCTCTGTTACATCCAGCATTTCTCTAAGAGAAAGCTTGAGGGGATTCAGGAGCGAGCACTTAGGGCGGTGTACAAAACTGGATCAGCGTCCTATCAAGAACTGCTAAGTCGCGCCAAACTACCGACGTTGAACAATCGGCATCTACAAGACATTGCCACTTTGATGTTTAAAGTTAAGCACAGTCTCGTACCCGAGAATATTTCTGACTTATTTAATATAAAGAACACTCAGTATAACTTACAGAATAGTGACTTCGAACTGCCAAGATTCGAAACTGTAAGATTTGGTACGAATTCTATTAAATATATGGGACCTCTCATTTGGTCGAAGTTACCAAGACACCTAAGAACGATTGAAACTCTAAGTTCGTTCAAGAAGAACATAAGAAACGTCGACCTTTCAACTCTTGTTGAAATTTAAAATTTAACTAAATAACTTTATAATCTTTTTAATTATCTACTGTAAATAACTATCATCTATATATGTAAATGTATTTGACTTTTAATTTTTTTAGTGTCCCCCATTAGCTTATAGCTAAAAACATAGACACTTAAATAAAGTTTTTCTTTCTTTCTTTCTTCTTTCTTTCCAGATGGAATAGAACAACTTTGGTAGAATCTGGTAAATCAAACTCTTCCCGTGACCCGTAACAAGGACGCCGAGAACATCTTGATGGCACAAAACCAGTCTTTTTTTTATGCATTCGAGTTGACCCGACTTCAAAGTCATTCCTGGAAAATATTCTAGAGAAGTCTGAAGACACTTTTCAAACTTGTTTTCGCCTATTGTTAGAGAGATTGAACGGCAACTATTCGCACTAACGCCATTTCAAGATGGCGTCGTCATAAACAGTTTACTTCCAGTTTACTTCCGGTTCTCTTCTATTGTCGCCTTAGCCAATCAGCGTTTCGAGCGTTCAGCGGCCGAAGAACACCACTCTCGATAAAGATTTGTGTCAAGCTCTCCTTTCCCTCTCCTCCCTTTCCCTCTCCTCCCTTCCCCTCTCCCCTTGAGAGAGCCTGATCCTCAGGCTACGATCGCTGAACGAGTTACTCGGTCCCAGACCTAATCGCGTAAGCACAATTCAAAATGGCCGATTACGATTAGCTAGATTGGGCGGTTGTAGGAAACTTGGTTCAACAAAATGGGGAGTTCAATAACTCGAGGTTGATAATATGTTTCACTAAGGCGAATAAACGCCTTTTGGTTCGAGTTTTCGGGATTTTTTAAAAAAAAGTTACGGGTACGCGTAGGAACACTCTTAAGTCTTGTTTTTTATTATTAATATTTTATTTTACCCTCAGTCTGCATTGTACCCCTGGTCTGCAGTCTGCAGTCTGCAGTTTACCCTCAGTCTGCATTTTACCCCCCGGTCTGCAGTATGCAGTCCGCAGTCTACGTTTTACACTGACCGGAATTTTAATAATGAAGGGACGGAACATCTTTTTACAATTTATTTTCGGCTGTTATTTGTAGGGACCAGGTGGAGAACTAGATAGAGTTTGTACTTGTGCTAAGTGTAAAGAATAAAGAGCAATTTTATGGATTCAAGTTTGTTTAAGAGTGTTTTAAATTCACCCAAAGGGCTCCATGGTCAGAAGTACTTTTGTTCATGTTCGTGCGAAAAAAGTCACACGTGTGTGACAAGCATGGGCATTAATCTACCGCTATACATGTTTGCGTGTAAGAGGAACAATTCCACAATCCAGCGTAAAAGAGTTTCGTGGGGTAGCAACATGAATTCATGCCTTTTGGACTGTTGGTAGTGGAAACTAAGCGGACAATTTAATGGAGTTTAATCTTATGAAAAGCTTTGAACGGTACCGGTAAACACTATTCTTTTCATCATATTTTTAAGTGTAAGCTGCCGTCACGAAGTCTGCCGCTATCTTAAAAATCTTCTACTTCAGCGGTCAGCTCGTGAAGTGACCGTTTCTACCACATTTTTTACAAGCTTGTTCAGTTAAATATGCGACGGAGAAAGTCGCCAGAAAGTTTTCTATAACAGGAAGTAGGCACATGTTTTTCCTTTAAGTTTTCACACCTTTGGGTAGTAGCAACATATCAAATTATGTCAACATTGTGAAAAACTCGAAGTTCTGACCGCTGATAGAAATGCCAAGTCTTGAAAGTCTCAGGAGACTTTCAGCAGAAATATATTTTGTGACAATGTCGCGATAGGTATGGCAAACCTTCAGTTGATTTCTAAAGAGGGGCAATTTTGATGGCAACTGTTTTTTTTTTGTTTGTTTATTTTTTTCACTTCATGCAAGACCGCCTTGGGCACGCCGCGGCAAAAGTCTGCTGTTGCTTATAAACTGCAAGCAACAAAGAGTGCTTAAACCATGAGCCTACATCCGTTTCGATGAGATTCTTGCGGCATTGGCGCCGAATTTGTTTACTTATTGTGCTTACAGCCACGCCTCTTCTTCCTTACATGTACGGAATTTTGTCTTTTTATTTTGTCTTTCTCCATTGACATTCTAGTTTAAAACGAAGAATGACGGCAAATATCTTTAAGTGCAACTGAAGCCAGAAGTTGTTTACGCGATTGAAATTCATGGAGCAAGATGTTTTGCTGCAACAAACTCTCGGGGAGTCAGTTAAGGTTACTGTGCACCTTCAAGGGTGTCTCGCGTGTAAGCGATGTAGAGCGTCTGGTTTAAACTGTAGATATCTAAACCCCTATATCAAATTAAAGCTTATAGGACTGGCTATCAGACTATATCAAAAATTAAAAAAAAAATTAATTATCGAATTTTTCACGACTTCTAAAAGCGAGCGCCCGAATCACCTTTTGAACGTTACATGTTAAAGCGATTTTTTTTTTTCGCTTATTTAATGTGTTCCTCCGTTTCCGGGGCCAAAGCGTTAAAAAACGTGTCTGCGATTTGCCATATTCAATTTCAGTGAAAAGTTACAGAACATTTTTGAAATAGGATTTAAACAATGTGGAGTGATCGTACAAACATCGCTCTTGAAAAAAAAGTATTTAGAAATAAAAAATTCGGACAAGTTTTTGTTGTTTATATGTAAAACTAGCTACTGTCAAAATTTGAGAGCAATCGAACAAATTTCCTTGGACTTGTAGTTTATAAAAGGTGATTTGGGCGCGCGCATTTAGAAGTCGTGAAAAATTCGACAATTAATTATTTTTTTTATTTTTGATATAGTCTGATAGCCACTCCAATAAGCTTTAATTTGATATAGGGGTTTAGATATCTACAGTTTAAACCAGACGCTCTACATCGCTTACACGCGAGACACCCTTGAAGGTGCACAGTAACCTTAACTGACTCCCCGAGAGTTTGTTGCAGCAAAACATCTTGCTCCATGAATTTCAATCGCGTAAACAACTTCTGGCTTCAGTTGCACTTAAAGATATTTGCCGTCATTCTTCGTTTTAAACTAGAATGTCAATGGAGAAAGACAAAATAAAAAGACAAAATTCCGTACATGTAAGGAAGAAGAGGCGTGGCTGTAAGCACATTAAGCAAACAAATTCGGCGCCAATGCCGCAAGAATCTCATCGAAACGGATGTAGGCTCATGGTTTAAGCACTCTTTGTTGCTTGCAGTTTATAAGCAACAGCAGACTTTTGCCGCGGCGTGCCCAAGGCGGTCTTGCATGAAGTGAAAAAAATAAACAAACAAAAAAAAAACAGTTGCCATCAAAATTGCCCCTCTTTAGAAATCAACTGAAGGTTTGCCATACCTATCGCGACATTGTCACAAAATATATTTCTGCTGAAAGTCTCCTGAGACTTTCAAGACTTGGCATTTCTATCAGCGGTCAGAACTTCGAGTTTTTCACAATGTTGACATAATTTGATATGTTGCTACTACCCAAAGGTGTGAAAACTTAAAGGAAAAACATGTGCCTACTTCCTGTTATAGAAAACTTTCTGGCGACTTTCTCCGTCGCATATTTAACTGAACAAGCTTGTAAAAAATGTGGTAGAAACGGTCAC